TCTTTTCAAATTACACACATAACTATATTTTCATTAACCCAAGGTCTGGTGTGAAGATGGGATATATCGATCCACTCCTTCTGGTACCTCCCCCACAAAGGGTCAAAATTTTGAATATCCATGAAGGTCATAAAACCCGAAATTAACATCCGATTCCATTCAGACTTGGTACATCCCATTATTTCCACCAACATAAGATCTGCCAAAAAGATGGTAGAGATCGGACCGTTCCTTCTGGATCCTCCCCCACGAAATCTGTTATAAAGATGGTAGAGATCGGACCGTTCCTTCTGATACCTCCCTCACAAAATGTCAACATTTTCACAGAAAATAATTTATCTCATAGAACAAGAAAGTATCTTCCGATTTTGTTCAAACTTGGCAAATCCTCATATTTTTATGTCTGTGCTGAGTCGGGTGAGAAAATGGACAGTATCAGCCCACTTCTTCTGATACCTTCCTCACAAAGTGTCAACATTTTGAATAATCTCAACCCTTATAAAATGTGAAATAAGAATCCAATTGTCTTGAAATTTCACATATCCCAATATTTCTAGCAACTCAAGGTCTAGTATGAAGATGGGATAGATCGGATTACTTCCTCTGGTACCTCACGCACTACGGATCAACATTTTTACTATCTTTATCTCTCATAAAACAAAAAATAAGCATCCAACTCTTTTCAAATTTCACATATCCGAATATTTTTATTAACCCAAGGTCTGGTGGTAAAATGAAATACAGGGTGAGATAAAAAAATGCAACAAAGTCAAACGCCATAATTTTTACTTTTTCTTTTTTTTTAAATTTTTCGAATGAAAGCAAAAAATGTCGGAAATAGCATCAAATTTTAAAATAAGTTTAGATTTGTTCGATTTGGTCATCTTTGGCACGAATTATGGCCAGTGAAATCGTCACACGCTGCCCGAATATTGCTCTGCAGTATTTTGACCCATTGCCGGCGAAGCGTTTGCTTGAGGTGATCGGCACATTGGTATTTTTTAGTGCCAACCTTACTTTCCAAAATACACCAGACACAATAGTCCAACGGATTGGTACCCGCAGGTTTTGGTGGCCATTATGCGCTGGAAATGAAGCAAGGAACCTCATTTTGTAACCAATCTTGGGTGGCGCGTGCTGAGTGCGATGGTGCTGAATCCTGTTGGAATGTCCAAAGTTTGCGACCAAAATGTTTACGCGCCTAAGGCTTTAATACACCCTCCAGAATATTTTCGCGATAATATTTGGGATTTATTCTGATGCCACGGTCGATTAATACGAGAGGAGAGCGACCATCGGCTGTTATGACGGCCCACACCATCACCATGGCCGGCGCTTGAGTTCTGGTGGCCAACGGAGGTGCACATTTTCAGCTGACCTCTTTGGCAAGTAAACACGATTATTTTGGTTGTTTACAAACAACGAATGTTTTCTCATCGGGGGCGTGGAAAACCAAATTCGGCAGTTCACCACTTTCGGCCAAGCGAAGCAACTCTTTAGCTCTTTTGAGTCTATTTTTTTCTGTTGTGGTGTAAGTTCTGGCACTTTTTGGAATTTCAATGGCTTTACCCCGAGCTCATTTTTCAATATTTGCCCCAAATGGAATATTGCGATATGTTCAGCTCACGAGCCATTTTTCGGCCACTGCGATGAGGGTTTCGATCAAGTAGCTTCTTTACTTTTCGAACCATTTCTGCTGATGTTGCTGTTTTCTTCCGTCCACTTCCTTGACGTCGGGTATCACGCTACCAGTATCACGGTAACGAGCGATGGTACGAGACACAAAAGATTTATTCACATTTAAATGCTGGAGTTCTCTAACGATAGAGGGTCAACAATTTGAATAATCCTAACAGAAGTCAAAATATATAATTAAATGAGGCATTGACCGGGAGTACACATCCGTCGGCGAAATTGATACTTTTTAACTCGGTACTTTTAAAATTTTCCGTTTTAATATCCCAAAATGATGTGGCAACTCTTGGTCGCAACCAAATGACAAAACTGCGCCACCACCACTGCACCACCACCTCTAAACAATGCAATTTGCAAAAAATGCAATTGAAGGGTTTTTAAATGCATTTCAAAATCAATTTTCGTTTTAATTCGACAACGAGGCAACGGAGCAATGCTGCTATGTTTCTTCTTCTTGTTGCATTGTTTTCGATTTATTTTTCATTTTTTTTTTATTTTACATTTTATGCAAGACACCCGGTTGGGGTTGGGAGCGAAGTAGAAGGAAAGACGTACCGGCCGGCTAGCATTGATATTATACAACGATGTGAAAAGAGAAAAAAATAAAGTCACCCTGGAAAATCGTATTTGTGTGTCGCAAGACAATACATGTTTTTTTTATGTCGAAATCAACAGCCTATAAATGCAAATGCTGTTGTTGTTGTAGATTTATGCAAATTACAGCGAGGGAAGAAAAATTATTCACCGCTTAAAACAATTGGAGGTTATTATTTTAATTTTGTTTTAATTAAAAACAAAACATAATATTTCTGAAAGGTTTCTGTGAAAGGTCATTACTCGGTGGCAGGAGGGCATTGTTTTGGAGCACACACACACATTGTTGCAGCTGGGGAAATGTTGAGGGGAATTTGGAAATGTTGAGGAGAAATAGAAGGTCACAAAGAAAAGGACAGACTTCACTGCAAAGGCTCAGGAGGGTATTTTATCTAAACCGTGGGATAAGTCTACTATACAGGGTGATATAAAAAACTGCAACAAAGTCAAACGTCATAATTTTTACATTTTTTTTTAATGGAAGCAAAAAATGTCGGAAATAGCATCAAATCTTAGAATATGTTTAGATTTGTTCGAATTGGTCACCTTTGGCACGAATTATGGCCTTCAAACGGCGAATGAAACCGTAACACGCTGCCCGAATGTTTTGGCCCATTCCCGGCGAAGCGCTTGCCAACAGTGCTGAACAACGAATATTTTCTCATCGGAGAAAACCAAATTCGGCAGTTCACCACTTTCTTTCAAGCGAAGCAACTTTTTAGCTCTTTTGAGAATTTCAATGACTTTACACCGAACTCATTTTTCAATATTTGCCGAATGGAATATTGCGATATGTTGAGCTCACGACCCATATTTCGGCCATTGCCTTCCAAAGGAAGGCCTTCTCTACAACTAATACCACTTCTCGGCAAATAAGGGAAATCGTTTCTATCAAAAAAAAAAAAAAAAAATAAAATAAATAAATAAATAAATCCCTCTATAATGCCTCCTATTAAAAGGAGAACTCTGTAAGATCTTATATGGTTGAAAACCATCTTGAACTTATCTACTAAAGAGGCCTCTGAAATTTCATTTCAGTAAAGCAAACCTCTGGAATGTTTTTTAAAACCCTCTTGAAACAAGGTCTTTAGTAGGGGTTCTATCGATCACTTTTGAAAGTTCTTTAAATGTAAGACTCTCTGAAAGGTCTTATTTAAAAAAGAAAGTCTCTGAAGGTCCTATAAATAGAACGTCTTTGAAAAGTCTTCTTCTCAAAAATATGACCTCTTTAACGCTGGTATCTGGAATGAAAGGTCATTAAGTTTTCTGTCTGTAGAAGAAAGTTAACTAAAGCCCTCAGGAAGGTCTTTGGACGGTCTTCTATCACAAGAAGCCGCCTAAAAAAAGGGTCCTCAATTAACGGATTGTCTTCAGAAGACAGCCTCTCCAAAGAAAACATCTGAAGGTGTTTTTTTTTAATTGGGACCATCTGGCAGGTTTCCTTTCGGTAGAAGGCCTTGAAAAACCTTTCTATCAAAAAAATTTCTTCAAGATCTTCCTTTAATAGAAGATCTTCTCAAAGGTCGCCTAACAATAAAAGATACCTGTGACGACTCCTTTAATAACTAATAGAATAGCTCTGAAAGGCCTTCTTAAATATATTATCTTTAAAATAAGTCTTAAACGCCAAACCTCTCGTCGATCGTCTTAAATCTGCAGAATTTTTGGAAGTTTTTCCATTGAAGAAGGTTCATTAGATGGTTTTCTTGGATGTGGGTTCTCTGGAAGTTCTATGAATAGAAGGAATCGGATCTCATTTCAAACCTTCTACAGTCTAATGACTATAGAAATTCTCTCCAAGGTCTTCTACCTGAAAAAAGTCCCATCTGAATAGACCTTTGCTAGGTCCTTTTGATTGTCTTTTCTCGGAATAAAGCAGAATTGAAAGAAATATTGAGATGTACCAAGTCCGAATGGAATCGGATGTTAGTTTCGCGTTTTATGAGCTTCATGGATATTCAAAACTTAGACCCCTTGTGAGGGAGGTACCAGAAGGAATGAACCGATATATACCATCTTCACAACAGACCTTGGGTTTATAAAAATATTGTGATGTTTGTAGATGATCGGACTCTTACATCACATTTTATAAGTTATAATTATTCAAAATTTTGATGCTTTGTGAGGGAGGTACCGATATTGCCCACTTTCGCACCTGACCTAGCACTGATTCAAATATTTGGATTTACAAAGCAAAATCGGATTATCCTTTCTCTTTCTGTGCAGTAATTGATTTTCTTTGGAAATGACGACATTTTGTGGGGAAGGTACCAGAAGGAGTGGACTGATATTGCCCATTTCCGAACTCGATCTATGCTTGATAATAATATTTTGATGTACCAAGTTTGGACCTTGGAGAGTTGTCGTGAGCACCAGCCAGGCATATAGACAGACAGACGGACGGACCTGGCCTGGCATCGCTAAATCGACTCAAAATGTTCTGAAACGGATTTGGTCCAAAGAGACATAGTGTCTAAACCCATTATTTCGATGAGGTACGTTTTGCCATATCAAATGATATATACCCTCTCTAGCCATATGGCTGAGGTTATAATAAGTGTTTTTCTTTCGAGTTCGCTAACGAATCTTCATAGACAAATAGGCCAAAAATCTCCTTAGCTGAAGACCTTCAGAGACTTAAGAGAACTAAAAACTTGAACTATGTCTTACAAGAAAATTTATAAATTTCTTATTTTTCTCTTCTATTTCAGAATCACAACATATTATTGAATTACAAAAAACAACAACAAGAACATCATTGGAACAATTACAACAATTCAGAAAACCCATTTGAATTAAAATATACAAAAATTGATAATTTGTATCATAATTTGCATAGCCGCTTATATTTCCTTAAGAAGCGTGATTTACCTACAAGAGAGTGAGTTTTGTGAGATATCTACAAGATCTGCAAAACCAATAATACCACAGCAGCAACAACAAAAAATCATCAACGTAGAAATATCATTTCTATCGATTATATCATAAAAGAAGAAAATTCTACCAAGCTGCCATTTAAAGGCAACCCACAAAACAAAGTAACAACAATTACAAAATACCAGCAACAAAAAGAAAAACAACGGCAACAAAATGGCTCAACGAAGTCATCAATATTTTAGTTTACGATGGAACAACTATCAGAACACCATGACTTCGGTGTTCCAACAGTTGCGCGAAGATCTGTCATTTGTCGATGTCACCCTTTCGTGTGAGCATGGCTCACTTAAGGCCCACAAGGTAAGTGTCCTCAAATTGTTTGGGAGAATTCGTATTAATTGTGTTTTTTTTCTGTTTTCTTTTAGGTGGTCCTATCCGCTTGTTCATCCTACTTTCAAAAGCTATTGCTCGAGAATCCCTGCAAACATCCAACAATTATATTGCCGGGCGATATTATATTCACAGATTTGAAGACCATCATTGATTTTGTGTATCGCGGCGAGATTGATGTCACCGAATCTGAATTACAGGTAGGTGTTTGGGAAGTAGTTGTGATAAGAAATTGAATATTTCGTAGGTATAAAATTAAACCAGTAAGAAAAGCTCAAAAGTCGGTCGGGCCGACTATATGATACCCTACAACACTATGCACATTTTGTGGGGCTCTCGTACAAGAGCATATTCCGATAAATTTAAACACCAAATCGGATGAAACGTATATATGGAGATAGAGCTATATCTAAACCGATTTTCACTAAGTTTTTAATGTTACTTTGGGCTGAAATTAGCCATTTGGTGCACAAGAAACCTAAAATCGGACGAAGATATATAGGGGAGCGATATCCAAATCTGAACCGATCTTGATAAAATTTGAATCATGTGTTGCTGGGCTGAATATAATATCTGGTACTAAATATAATTTTTGTGGGGTGTATATTACGAATGTGAGGGACTTAAACCCCAAATCGGATGAAACATATATATACGAGCTATAGCTATATCTGAACCGATTTCCACCAAATTTAAAGTACTTATTTCTATACTGAATTCGGTCGGAAGTGCCAAAATTCAAACCATTTGGACTGATATTAGCCATTTGGTGCTCAAAAAGTCTAAAATCGGATGAAGATATATATGGGAGCTATATCCAAATCTGAACCGAACTTGAAAGAATTTGATCTATGAATTGCTAGGCTGTATCTGTTATCTGGTGCTAAATATCTGTCTTGGGGAGTGCATTTAACGAATGTATATACGAATGAAGATATATATGGGAGCTATATGTAAATTTGGACCGATATTCACCAATTTCAATAGGGTTCGTCCCTGAGCCAAACAAATGTTATTTAGAAAATTTCATCTCAATCGAATAATAAATGCGACCTGCATTTTGCTTACAAAAATACATGGACAGACAGACGAACGGACATGCATAAATCGACTCAAAACATAATTCTATGCTGATCACCAAAAGGGACTATGGGTCTATCTCGTTTCCTTCTCTATGTTACAAAAAAAATGCACAAAGACAGCCCGATAGACGGACGGACATCGCTAGATCGACTCCAAATATTCTGAAACGGATTTTGTCCAAAGCGACCTAGAGTCTAAAACCGTTATTTCGACTAGGCACGTTTTGGCCTATCAAATGATAGCCATATGGGTGAGCGTATAAAGGACATATAATTTTTATTCTCTCTCAAATTATGATTTTGCGAACTGATGTGGCTAGCACATGGTTTTGAGCAGGGATGTTATGGATAAAAACAATAAAAATAGAATAAATCAATTGCACAGAATGCTCCAAATGAGCTGACCTCAATTCATAATTGATGACTGCTTATTCATTTTGTTGCAAACAAGCAATGGACTTTGGACAACTAGCTCAGCGCAAATGATTCTCTCGAATAGATTTCATATTAGATAAGTTGCATTCATTATGCATCTCAAATACTTGTTATAAATGCAACAGTCTAGTTTATCTTGTAAAAAGTGGGAGGTCCTCAAAAATCTATAGATTTCGTTCTATAGAAAAGTATTTAAAAATATTCTGTCTAAGAATGTCTATAGAAGCTTTTTTATTAATAGAAGATTGACAGAAGGTTGCCCACAATTTTTTTAAACAAACAGCAGACTTTTTTCTTAGTGCCCCTTTGAAAGTTTTATATTTATAGAAGTCTTTCCATCTAAAAATTACCTGTCTTATTTATAGTATAGAACTCAGTTGTTTCATATATATATAAATTCAGTTAAATATATTATTTATAATAGATTGCCTTTCATGTAAATGATGTATGTAAATAAAATGGAATACTTCGTTCCACAAAAACTGACATCTCAGCACATTTCTACATTTTTTTTATAAATTATCACATATCTCATACAAAGTGAAGGAAGTATTTGATATAGTCCAAGCCTGACACGTCGCAATATTTATATCATATTTATTTAGGTCTGATATGAAATGGACAATATTAGCCCACTCCTTTTGAATCTACTCCATAGAGGGTCAAATGTCTGTTGAATGCATTTTGTCTATTAAAACTCTATTAAATGTTCTCTTAGTAGATTTTCTTTTAACAGAAGTTCCCATGCTAAAAACACCTACAGACGTTACAACAGATTTTGTGAAGATATTTTTATTTTTTTTATATTTTTTACTACAGAATACCTTATACGATCACAAATGTACTTAAGATTTATAGGAAAAAAGCCTTTTAAATGCCTATGGAAAATCTATAAAAAGACCTTAAATCTCAATATATATAGAATTGTCTTGGGAATTAATCTATTTGTATATGATACATCGAGAAAACATATAGAAAACGTCATGTCTATAGAAGACCTATAGAGTATCTTCGGCTTAGAAGAATTTCACAAGTTGAAAATATATTTTTGGCATTTATATCACAAAAGAAAGAAGGCGGGGTTTTTCTAAAACTGACTTTCTCATATGTTGTCCTTTCTGATTCTGCTTTAATTGAAACTAAAAACTAGCACGAAATACAATGGTTGAGTCCATAATAAAGTTGGTATTAACTGAGTCTTAGTGGTGTAGTTGTCAATTCGGCCACAATATGAAATTATATTCAACAATGTTTGTTGGCCTTGCTCTAGCAAGCATCATGGGTGAATTGTTGTATATCATTATTAATATCTAATTTCTAGAGACTTCCGAAGGACTAGTACCGCTGGCAATGTGACCAAATACTCAGATATCTAACTCAGGAATTGTTATAGCATTAGCAAACAATTCTTATACCCTCCACCATTTTAGGGAGCGTATATTATTTTTATACCCTCCACCTTGGAATGGGGGGTATATTAACTTTGTCATTCCGTTTGTAACATCCTTAAATATTCGTCGTAGACCCCATAAAGTATATATATTCATAATCAGCGTAGAGCGCCAAAATTTTCGCAGAGCAATTTGTATTGTGTCTAGGATGGTTGGTATTGAAAATGAGATATATCGGTCCACGTTCTGGTATAGTCCCCATATAAAGGTACCTCCCGATATTCGGCATTTTGATGATTTATGCCACATTTTTTCACTTATTTGTTTGAAAATTGGTATATATAGGTCAAAACGGGTCCCTGTACGTGTGGCAAAACATGGCATGTATAGGTCCACGTTTTGGTATAGCCCCCATATAAAGGTACCTCCCGATATTCGGTATTTTGATTATTTTTACCACATTTTTTCACGGTTTTGTCTAAAAATTGGTATTTGATGGTCATAATGGGTTCCAGCTCCGGTGGCGAAACATTGTATGTATGGGTCCACGATTTGGTATAGCCCCCATACCTCCCGATATTCGGTATTTTGTTGGTTTTAGCCACATTTTTTACTGATTTGTCTAAAAATTGGTATTTGTGGTCATAATGGGTCCTAGTTCGTGTGGCGAAACATTGTATGCATAGGTCGTTTTGGTATAGTCCCCATACAACGGTTCCTCCCAATATTCGGTATTTTGGTGATTTTTGACACATTTTTTCACGAATTTCTCTGAAAATTGGTAGTTGTAGATCATAATGGGTCCCAGTTCGTGCGGCGAGTCATTGAAATTATAGGTCCACGTTTTGGCATAGCCCCCATATAATGGTACCTCCCGATATTCGGCAAATTGATGATTTTTGCCACATTTTTTCAGGGATTTGTCTGAAAATTGGTATTTCTAGGTTATAATGGGTTCTAGCTCCTTTGGCGAAACATTGCATGTGTAGGTCCACGATTTGGTATAGCCCCCATATAATGTCACCTCCCGATATTCGACATTTTAATGGTTTTTGCCACATTTCTTCTATTGTTTCCTTTACCCTAAGGTGGAGGGTATTAAAAGTTTGGCCCGGCCGAACTTAATGTTTTTTTTACTTGTTTTCATTCCGTTTGTAAATCCTCGGAATACACATGATGGACCCAACCAAGTATATATATATTCTGGAAAAAAATTAATTAAGGCAATCACGCCATTTTTCCATTGTAAGTCTAAAATTTTGCATAGGTCTGTATTTTGCCAGCACATAACGGTACCTTCCAATATTCGGTATTTTTATGATTTTAGAGACATTATAGACCGATTTTGTTTAAAGTATCTTAACGGGTTCTACACCCTATGACAGAAAATTTTATATGCAGGTCCATGTCTTGGTATAGCTCCCATACTTTTCCACAACCTATAATCCGGGGACCACAACTGATTTGCATTGCAGAATTTCTTTATATATAATAAATGTTCATACATGTCATCTTAGGAAGCCCCTGACTTTTTAATACGATCTGTGGCTTTAGTCATACTTCCCAAATGTTGTTACAATTATTCCTTAATATAAGATTGCAAGTCAATTGCTTTTAAAATTGTCCTCTATGACCGATTGAGAGCTCTGTTTGTAGCTATAAGACCATATGATGACGACTCGCTATGTAAACACGGCCTACTATCTGAAAACACTTCTGTTGTTTAAGACAGGCCTAATTAACAGCTGTTAACTCGGTACTAAATGTTATTTTACATGGTGTATGCATCTGCTAAACATGACATCTGTTATGGTTTGGAACTCGACTACGGTGTTAGGTTACATTTTGTGGTGAATTCGATAGTTTAGAATGGTGTAATTCAATATTTTCACCTAAGTGGTTACCCTGTTAATAATTTCTGGTACCGCGCGACAGGGTGTCACAGGATTATGTTAATGTTATTTTACATTACCGAAACATTGACTGTTAGATTTTAAAATACGAAGGAATAATTTAAAAATACATTTACAAAAATAATCAAAAAAGTGTTCTCTCAGAACATCAAACTGTTTTTTTTTTTTTTTTTGTCGAAGATTAAAAAATATTTCCTTAAAGAAGATTAGAAATAAGAGTTGTCTAATAGAAAACAATAGGACACCTTCTTATAGGATATCAAAAAGGTCATCTCAAAGATAGTCTTATTTTTATAGTGGGCCCACTGGGCTCATGTCTAAACGGACATGCCATAGAAGAGGCATTACAAGAAAATTCTTATCTTATTGAGGTATTCTA